ACTAACCTTGGTACAGTGTGGCCTTCATGTATTGTTAGTCTCGCTTTTCCAAAGAAGACACCGAGACTGCAGCTCTCCCCGCTGTAGACTCCGATGTATCTTATGGTTGCAAACAATATGACGTAAGTGTGGCTCTCCCCGCTGTAGGCTGTGACGCATCTTAAGGCTGCATTTGCCTTCGTTGACACATCTGAGGAAGTGTACAATTCTTTCTTTTGCACTGTGGCGGGTGAGCTGGAAACATAAGTGCACTGCACTTGCATACTCTTGGGACATCTTGGAAGTACAATCCATGACTCCCGGTCTTGCAGATGTTGTTTGTCTTGTTTGTCCTCTATGGACAAGGCTAAGTTGTTGTGATTCTGACTGGTCTGGAACACTGTTGCTTCCAAAGCAGGTTTGGTTGTCACAAGCGCGCAGTGTTCTAGGTGTGGTTTCAGGTGAGGTGCTGTTCCATTACTGGGAATGGAGGTGTTTGATATGCTCACCTGGGTTGGGATTTGCGGTCGCTCAACACAAACTCCCTCCTATGGCCCATCCGAGTTCCGTCTTAATGGCTACTGGGGTTCCTGGTGGACCTTTGATTCTCTCATCGGAGCCAATGGACTCTGGGGCGTCTCTTCCCACCATGAGTAGGATTTTAGCTTCAGGATCTAGAGGAGGGATTAAATCAGCTATGTGTGCTAAGTGAGGTATTCTTCTTGCCACCTCTGGTGTTGAGATTTCGCTGCGGATATCTGGTAAGGCCTCCCATTCCAACACTGATGGTAACCGGAAGTGTGAGCTTCCATCTATCGCTTCTATGCGTAGACCGGTGATTTTCCTCCCCGCTGTGCTCATTTGAACTGTGCACGTATTTATTGCAAAATGCTTCGATTCGCTCGGGAGGTCGAAAAGATCAAAAAAGGCGGGCTTTGCTATAGTAGCTTTGCAGTGTGGGTCTAGTATGGCGTACATTTTTACTGCCTTTTCGGGTTGCCCATCGGGGTAGACTTTTGCAAGACAGACGGATGAGCATGAAGGAGGGCATGGTGAGTCGTCATATACATCTGTGTAGTACGTCCCGTACTGTTTTGGCTGCTCTTCGGAGTCAGTTTAAGTCTCCGTTGTCGAAGTCGCTTGTTGTGTCTCCTCAGAGGGCTTCTTAGTTGCTAGATGTAAGGCTGCTGGGTGCTTGATACTGTCACACAGGTGGCATTTCGCTCTAGCTGTGCAATCTTTGGCCATGTGCTCCATGGAGTTACAGCATTTGAAACATATCCTATTCTCTCTGAGTAGAGTCTTTCGGTCATCTAGTGATTTTTTTCTAAATTCTCTGCAATCGTTTAGGGAGTGTGAGGACTTGTGAATTGGACAAGTCATCTCCTTTGTGTGAGGCGTGATGTCTGTTTTATACACTGAAACAATGGGTCTATCCTTCGTGGCTTGGACAGAGCCTCTGTTAGGGCCGAAGTTGTGGCTGGTCTGTCTTGGTGTTGGGAACGAATCTTTTGTTGGCTCGAAGTTGCTAGCATTACAGCGTAGTTTTGCTTGGTGGGTCACGAATTGAGCCAATACAGCAAAGGCGGGTGGTGTGTCAGGGTCCTGGCTTCTGTGAGCTTCTGATATTATGGCCCATTCATCCCTTGACTGCTTTGGTAGTTTTCTAACTATAATCCTTTGCTTCTCGAACTGATCGAGGCAAGTGAGTTTTGGCATGTTGGGCTGCTCATGAACAGAATGTAACATCGCGAGCGTGTCTGCGAATTCCAACATCTGGGTGTGGTCATTGATATTGATGTTAGGGAAAGTGTAAATGCAATCCAAGAGCGAACTCTCTGTCATTTCGTGCAAGCCATACCGCTCGTCGAATCTTTCCCACGCCTTGAGAAGGGCGGTGGCTGGGTCGCCTAGGTGGGCTAGTTGAGTGTTCTCTACTAATTGTGCGGATGCTGGTCCCAGCCATGCCTTCATGTGTCCAAGCATTTGGCTTGGTGTTATTACTTCATCTTGAATGGCGGCCTGGAACGTGAGCTTCCACAATACGTAGTCCCTCCCCACTTTATCGGAGAACTTGTGCACGCCTTTGGACGCCAGATCTAGTTTACCTCTTGAAGGAGCGTAGATGGGTGGATATGGCACATTGCTTTGTTCCATGTCTGGCTGGTGTCTTCCTTCGGCGTATGGTCCTTGTTGGCTTGGTCTGAACTCCTCTGCTCTGACATTGAGCTGAGGGGACCCAAGTTCCTGCGTGCGCACTTGTTGGAGTGTCTCTCGTCTTTCTGGGGGAGCGTAATTGGCTCCCTCGTAGGCTGGCACAGCTGATGTTCGAGACTGTCGTCTGTAGTCGGGTCGGGTAGTGGTTCCTTGGGATGCTGCCTCCTGTTGGCGCAGCAGGGACTCTAGTTCGGCTCGAGTTCTTTCAATCTTGTCCTCGAGCGACGGCTGGTTCTGTTGTGGGGCCGTTGGCACTGCAGGTGGACCCATCCGGTTGCCATCAAGGGTATGATTCGGCAGGTTCAATGGGGCAGCAACGATGAGAAGATCTCGTGGCTCTGCCCGCTGTGGAGCCGTTGCCGCTGCTGGTGGACCCATCCGATTGCCGTCAAAGGTGTGATTCGATGGGTTCTGTGGGGCGGCAACGGTGGAAAGATCTTCTTGCGCTCCCCGCTGTGCAGTCGTAGCCGTTGCTGGTGGTCCCATCCGGTTGCCATCAAGGGTGTGGTTCGATGGGGCAGCAACAGTGGGAAGATCCCGTGGCCTAGTTGTCGCGACATCAACCCTGTGGCTGACTGGCACATCTGGCCGTTGAGATTCTTCTGTTCGTCTGCTCAGTCTTGGGGGGCTTGTGGCTGGCTGTGGTCTCACCTGTTCACGTTGTAACGTACTTTGGTTGTCCACGTAGGCCTGTACTCGGCTACGTCGTTCTTCGTTTTCCAGTTGTTCCCTATTGGGCAGGAAGATGGTGTTCTGAAGTGTTTCCTGAAGGCCTTCCGCTCTAGCTATTTTGTCTACCATATCTCGTTGGCTTTGAACAAATTCAAGCTCTTCTTGAGCATCTTGTCTTTTGGCCCTCATTTTAGCTGCTATAGCTTTTCGTTTTGCTTCCAATTGAGCTGCTTCAATTTCTCGCTCGTTCTTCATTTTGGCTTCCTCCATTTCTCGCTCATTCTTCATTTTGGCTTCCTCCATTTCTCGCTCATTCTTCATTTTGATTGCCTCAGCTTCTAGACTGGCTTCTATTTCAGCCTCTTCGAGATCTATAGCTGTGAGTTCCTTCTTTCTCTGCCACTCCTCCTGTATCACACGAAAGACTGCTTCGGCAGCTTTGGCGTCAATGATTGCTTGCTCTGCTTGTGAAATTCGAGATGCTCGGCTGTGACGAGAAGATGCTTTCGAACTTTGGGAGGCGCCTGTGACATGAGACTGTTGTGACACGCTGGAATATGCCTTGGAGATGTGGCGAAAGGATGAGGCCCTTGCAGACGCGTGGGACGGTGCGTGTGAATGGCGGGAAACTTCAGATTCAGCCCTGTCGACCAGTCTGTCCCTCAGGCGAGGAGGGCATTGTGGGCTCTCTAGAAGCTTCTTGCATTCCTTGTTCCATAACCGAAGACTTTGCATGTCGCGGTCGACTTCTGAGTCTCTTAATTGCTGCTGAATGTCCTTGAGTTGCCGTTCGGAGTCCATCCATTGTGCGAAGGCGTCTTCCTTATCTCTTTCCAGTGTGTGCGCACGTTCAGGGGAGAGATCCTCCTTTTGCTCTTGGTAGAGTTTGTGCCATTTCTCCCAGCATCTTTCATGGCGCTTGTACATGGTGTGCCATTTCTCCAACAGGTTTGCATGCATGGCTTCAGTTGGCTTTCTTTGTTGTCTCAGGTCATAGTGACTCTGAGACGTCTTTGGTCTTACTGAGGCTTGAGCTGCAGCATCTGTGTGCGGGTCAAGGCTGGCTGTGGGCAGCATTTCTCCTTGGCCGTCTGGTTGGGGTGTCCCAACTAGGCTGGTTGGTTGAACCCCTTCATCTAGATCAATGAGACACTCCGCCATGGTTAGGATAGGTTCGGTGTTGTTCTCCGCTATTTCGAAGCAAATTTGAAGAACTTCTCTCTTTGACCACTAGGGGTCGCTACTTGCAGATCAGCTTCAGAGGTGCTGTCTGTAGGTGGAGGTGCCTGGGAGCGTTCTCCTGTGGCTCCTAGCTATGTAGAAGCAAATTGGATGAACTTCACTTATTGACCACTAGGGGTCGCTGTCTGTGTATCAGCTACCAGGGTGATTTTCTTTCGAGGTACACCCTTTGTCCACTAGAGGGCTTTCTCTGGGCGTGATTAAAGGCTCGCGTGTAGCTCCTCCTTTAACCACTAGGGGACGTCTGAAGAGAGGTCAGCCAAATTCTTCCTATTACCATGTTCCTGCAGTGGCCACTGAGAGGCATGAACTCCCACCTGGTCGTTAAGTTGCAGGCTGGAACACTGGGTATTCAGCTTGTGATAATAGGCAAGGATTGTTGGCTATGCTTCCTTCTCCTTTGTCACTCAAAACTGGAAGAAACTTGGGTCTTCAGCTTGATTGGGTGAAAGCCCTTTTAGTGGTGGTATAGGCTTGATTTGAATTAAATTATCAAGTTGTTGTGATGTGAGAAGAAAAAATTTTTTTTTCAAGGTGTCACGTGCAGATTGGCCACCAGGGGGCGCTACTGCCCTGCTATTGGGGCCTCTGTATAACTTTCATTGGCATAGTTGAAATTCCAAAGGGAGGGGGGAGTTTAGCATCTTTCGCCAGTATTGAGGTTTTATGAGGGAGAGAAAGCAGCTTAATGGCTTAATTGCCTTCTGAGCTTAGCAACCGGGTTGTCAAGGAGGGCAATTAAGGCAGTTTTATATCCTGGAAGGGGCCCCTCTGTGCTCCTCTCTGAAGAAAAAGCGATCTGTAGTTGCTAGTTAATCTAAACGCTTAATTTCCAAAGCCTTGTTGCAGGGTTTGATCTCTAAAGCAGTGAAGAGTCGCTTGCCTGCCTTGGTTGCATTCCAAACGTAGAATATAACAAGCCTTTACCCGAATTTTGGAGGTAGTTTAAAACAGTTCCTTTGTAAACGTAAATAGCTCTGCAGGCAGTCTGCTGAAACACTCCTCTCATTGCCCCAAGCTTTGAAGTTGCTAGCAGGGAGAAAGGGAGGGTGTAACAGCCCACGCTCCTTGATTACAGAAACGCAGCCTTCACAGGCAAGAGTTTTGTTGTTTTAAAACTTGGCTTGCAGAGATGACAGCAAATAACAAGACAATGC